TTCCAATAATTAGTTTGTTGTAGCGTAGTTTAAATTGACTATTTTGTAGTTCATTCTGCGGAGGAACTACAAGGGCTGTAATTCTGTCCAGATAGTTCAGAACATCCTGAAATGTCGGGACTGCAGATGACATATAGACAAATATACTCAGTGACAAAAATAAAACACGAACACGAGGGACCCTACATCCGGGACGCTGACCAAAGTAATTGATCAGGTGTATACCCGAAACTGGCACTTGGCAAAATTCGCAGTCTCGAGCCGGAAAAAATGCATATATATTGTTTTCTTTTCTTTTCAATTCAAATAATTGTTTTGAATCAGATGAATGTTTTGACTCTGATGGATGTTCTTACTCAATGGATGTTTTGACTCAGATGGATGTTTCGACTCTAATGGATGTTCTGACTCGATGGATATTTTGATTCGATGGATGTTTAGGCTCGGATGGATGTTCTGACTCGATGGATGTTTTGACTCGATGGATGTTCTGACCCAATGGATGTTCTGGCCATAAGCGCCATGACTTGGGGTGCGGATGGAGAAGAGGGGGAAGGGGGGGGGGGGGCAAATTGCATCTGTATATTATAGGGTCGGCTAAATTTTGGGAAAGGTTGAAGCCCCATAAAGCTCCCCCCGCGCTAAGCCACTCGTTCAGGGGTGGCCAAACCACGGCTCGCGAGCCTCATGCCGCATCTCGGGGGGCCCGCAACTTCCTAATAACCCCCCCACGGACCAGATCAAAATAAAAGACGCGCAGAAAAATGGGCAGGTTGTGTTTTGTCAGCTTTGTGCCATCATATCATGGGACGATGTCCTTGTTTTACAAATGGTGACTCACAATAAGAACACATACTGAGCAATCGCTTGACGAGTGCAATTAACCCTGGCCACCAACTGAGAAGAAAAAAAAACTAAAAGCTTTTTAGGTATACCTTGTTGCTAGCTGAATGGCCAGCTGCCCTGAGGTCTACCCATTGTCCTTCCAATCAGAGCCAATCAGAGCTCGGTGTTCTGACGTCATTGCAATCCCTGAGCATGGAGGAGACGAACACATGTACGCGAAACACATGTACGCCGAAACCGTCCGATCCGACGTGCGAACTGCCGGAATGACCTTCGGGTTCGTGGGTTTTCGTAGCACCGGAGAAGCGTTGAAAACCCTCGCATCCGACCGCCGTATTGCCTGATCGGACGTCGGATCGGACGGTTTCGTCGTACATATGTTTCGCGCTTAACATATCACAGACGATTGCAAGCACCAACTTGTGCACCACGCTTTTGAGCAAAGGGAAAATTAGTTGGAACACATGTCAAACAGTTTCGAACCCGCCAGAAATGAAGTTTCGGCTTTTTGTTCTTTTGAATCCAGATAGTGGTAATTGTGGGAGCTTCAGAGAAACCGCTAGTGGTATCCGACCAAGAAATCTGGTTGAAACCTTGGACTGAAACTGACGCTAACGCCAAAGCTGCTTAGAATGCAGCGGCAGTTGTGCGTTCCGCACACTTGATCCGCGGAGACAGCTGCTGCGCAAACTTTATTGATAAAAAAAGGGAACCCGCCTATAATGTACCAACAAAAAATGGCAAAAAAAAAAAAAAAAAAAAAAGAGGAGAGCCACGGCAGGTTGCGCACCTTGTATTTTTTCCCCATGTTTCTTTACAATGCCGGAAAGTTACCGGCTTAGATAAAAGTTTAATTAATATTTTGTTTTCAGTTTATGCTTGGCAAAACACGGAGGACAATAACAGGACAACCACGTTGTCCTCCGTGTTTTATTCTTTCGATTCTAAGTATTCATGTTCAACTCGCTCGCCTTTACCAATCATTAAGGGTTCTGTAAAGATAAATATTTTTTTCTCATTCTCAAGTGTCATTTATTCTCATATACAGGGTGTCTTTTTTACTCTTACAGATTTGTTTAAAAAAAACTGAAAGCTACACTAATGCGGTTTGTCCAGGTGGTTTTTACGGCCAGGCGGACATTATGGGGGTGGCTAATCTTTGCAATAAGTCGGCTAATTAATAAAAAATCGTTAATTAAATTTTTAATTAGTGAAAATATACATATAGTTCCAATTAGAAACTTGTAGAGCATCATCGAAAACCACTAAATCAACTATTTTTCGAAGGATACAACGCCGGGGCAGCATTTTACGGCGTTCTGTAAAAACGCTTCATTTGGACGCGTTTCTAGATTTCGGTTTCTTATCGGAGCGCATCTTTACGCCCGCGGTCCTGCCCCCGGTGGTCGCGGCGCGAAGCCACCTCCTCGCCCCCCTCGTAGAATGGAGGGAAGTAGGGCGCACGTGTGTTGCGCGTCTCAGCCACTGGGGAGCAGGACCGCGGGCGCGGTGATGCCCTCCGATAACAAACCGAAATCTAGAAACACGTCCAAATGGAGCGTTTTTACAGAACGCTGTAATATGCTGTCCCGGCGTTTTATCCTTCTAAAAATAGTTGATTTAGTGGTTTTCGATGATGCTCTACAAATTTCTAATTGAAATCATATGTCTATTTTCACTAATTAAAAAGTTAATTAACAAATTTTAATTAATTAGCCGACTTATCGCAAAGATTAGCCACCCCCATAATGTCCACCTGACCGTATAACCCACCTGCACAAGCCGCATTAGTGTAATCTGTAAGAATAAAAAAAAAAAAAACCTGTATATTTTTAATGGCATTTGTAACTACATTTGGCCTCGTGAGAAAAAGAGGGAAATCTTGCCAAACCAATGTAGCAATCTGGCAAGACTGGACCGCACGAGCAGGGACAAAATGGCGGCCCATTCCCCCGTTTTATTCTACCAACGTTGAAATACATTTGTGCTTGTTTCTGTGCATATTTACGTACATCTGTATATTTGTCCCGCAATAATGCCTTCTAGGCACTGCAGGTTAAATCAAATAACTAAATAAATAAATAGATAAAATGCGGCATGCTGTCTTAGTTTTTAACGAGATAATACATTTTAGTTCAAGTTTTGTTTCATTCATACCAGCGCACATGAACGATTGCTGTTTTGTTTTCGTGACAATATTGGTATACTTGTTGATATATATAGTATTAGAGCGCAGCTCTTAGGCGTCCGTGTCTGGCTTGAGTGGAGTCGGCGTCGCCGTAAGCGTAACCGCGCTTTGCATTATGGGGCGTTTCGCATAATGCAACGCGCAGAGGAGGAGGGGAAGAGGAGGAGGGACATACCCTCCTCTCCATACCCTCCCCTCCTTCTCCTCAAGAGTGGGAAATTTGCCGAAAATTTCCCGCTAAATGGCAGGGGAGGAGGGTACGCAAAGGTGGATATGCCCCTCTTCCTTTTGCTACCCTTCCCTCCTCCTCCTCAAAACGTCTTTCTCAAATGTCTTTATTTTTTTTTTGGTTTCCTTATTTTTTAGAACATTTCCACGTCACATCATAAAATAATGGTCAGGGTCATATTTAAAAAAACATTTTTTTATAAGACATTTGCGTAAAAGCAATTTTCTTGAGAGGAACATTCAGCTATGCTAAAGTTGAGGCTGGAGCGAGTTGGTACATACTTCGGAATTAAAAGCGGCGCGAAAAGACGAGGACCAGACAAAGAAGTGACACGGACGCAGCGCTACGTCCGTGTCACTTCTTTGTCTGGTCTTCGTCTTTTCGCGCTGTTTTTAATTCCGAATCCAGCTATATTTGAACGTTGCAGATAACTTTCTTCGGGAAATTTTGAAACTCGAGGGGTAGAGATCGCCAAGATTTCACTGTGGTGATCTGCACAGTCGTACATTTTACACCGAAGCATGCGCGTAGTAATAGTTTTTCATACTTATTTTATAAAAACATTTAGAGCATGTACACAAAATATTAAAAATTAAAATAAAATATTTATGGGCGAAAAAAAGTGCGAAACACGTGAAGTAAACACGTTTTAGAAATGCATTCGGAAATTATTTCCCAACACACCTGCTTATATAGAATAGCGCAAAATATATCAAAATGAGCATCTTTCACTGCGCTTTACGTATGTAAAAATACGTACGCTTAGATATTATTGTAGGTTTTTTATTAATGCTGAGACGCGGCTGATTTCTCTGATTGTGGCAAAATTGCACGTCAGTATTGAGAAAACTCCCCATTTTATTCATTTTCAACTCTCCTTAACCCCTTGCAGAGTCTTGGACTAACTTTTGATGGCAAAATTTTGAGTCACGTCAGACCTCCAAGAGAGAAAAACGGCAACAATCCTTGACCCACATTGAGCTAGCTTGACTTCATTATAGGGCCGCGTTTTGCCTACGACGTCTCCAAAGAGATATTTTCTAGAACCGTCAAAGGCTGCAACGCGGTGCAGCCCTATCGTAGGGTGTAGAAATCTGTGCTCTCCCTGGCTTAGCTTTATATTTTGGTTCCATCGCGTTGCCGCCTAAAACAACCCCCCCCCCCCCCCCTCCCCCCCAAGTTGTGGAGCGTAATGCCTTTAGCCGCACGCCGAAATAGCTGCACTCGAGGCGAACACGTTGTCGTGCAGATGTGGGAAAAAAACTTTTATCCAATTAAATTGAAGAATTTTTATTACCCAGCAGAGACTTTATAGCGCCACCTGAAGCGCAATAAATAAAAAAAATTAAAACCTCTACGTTTTTTTTTTTCTTTTTACATCATCGGGCGGGCATTGCTAAATCATTGCACAACGCTATAATCGTCAACGGCTGTCGAGGTTAAACACTACTTTTCCTTCTTGCACTTCGTGGGCTCGCATCTGTACCGTCAAAACGAGAAATAATCCGCGTCTGTACGAAGCGTCCGGCTCGTTCGAGGTTGAAGCCGAGTTTGCTGCCAAACTGCTGCCAAACTGCTGCGTGAGTATTCGCTACTGCAAGGCCGTTGGCGACCACTCGTGGAGAAAAGCAGAGAGGAAGTGCCGAGGACACAAAAGCAGCAAACATCGTCTCTGAGCCCTCGCCTGCGCCCTCCTCCTCGTTCTGGCCGTCGACACTGCGGTGAGCAAACGGCGAGCTTTAAAGGTCGACGGGTTTCGGAGCCGAGATAATGAAATAACGTGGAAACAGCCGACTGGGCTTTCTGCTGTTGCCGTGGGAGCGCGCTGACGCTCTCCAGTTGGAAGTTGTCAGTGGTCCGGTCGAAGCGGCGTACCCTGCCTCAGTCCGTCGGAGGAAGGAGTCGTCCAGACCGTTGTCGCCTCCTCTCCCGCCTGCAGAGCTTTTCCTAGCCCACGGTCAGTGAATGCTGCATGTTGTTGTTGAGGACGCTTCCTTGCTGTCTCCTGCATTGTACTAAATTAATCTATCGCGTTTTTTTTTGTTTTTTTTTTACGTGTACGATCTTGTTTTGGAAGAAGATTGAGGACGCATGTGAGCTGGTTAATATTAATCAATGTAGTGAAACCGGAGACACAGAAACAAAAAGTACGCATACAACGCCTTCTCGGACAAAGCTAAAACTTTAATTGCCACCAACAACACGGTGTTTTTTTTTTAAGCTTAACATATATGTTTAAAAGAAGCCGTGAAAGCTACACTTATGCGGTTTCTACAGGTGAGTTACACGGCCAGGGAACATAGTCTAGGGGGCTAATCGTGACGGTGAGTCGGCTAATTAAGCGAAATTTGTTCATTAACTTTTAGAGCGCAGCTCTTGGGTGCCAGTTTCCCCGTGTAGCGGCGCCGCCGTGGCAGTCGGCGTAAACCCGCTCAATTTAGCGGTAAAACCGATGTCACATGACATCAACACCAATTCAGTTTCCCCGCTAAATTTAGCGGGAAATTGAATTGGTGTTGAGGCCAGGTGACGTCAGTTTTACCGCTAAATTTAGCGGGGTTACGTCGTCGGCTTCGCCGTAACCCCGCTAAATTCAGCGGTAAAACTGAAATCACAAAACCTAAACACCAATTCAGTTTCCCCGCTAAATTTAGCGGGAAATTGAATTCGTTTTGAGGACACGTGACGCCAATTTTTTTGCTAAATCTAGCGGAAAAACTGAGTTTGTTCATCGGTTGTGTGACACGAACTTGTGTGACGTCATTTTCCCCGCTAAATTTAGCGGGCAAACTGGCAGAAGCGAAGGGTATGGAGGAGGAGGAGGGGAGGGTACGGAGAATCCTAATCCTCCGTACCCTCCCCTCCTCCTCCTGCGTACCCTCCCGTGACGGTAGATCGCAAAATCAAAATACCTCAAGAGCTGCGCTCTAATTTCGCGTTACAGAGATTTGTAAACGTCTTTAATTTTTAGTGAGTGATTATCTAAAATGGACCGTAAAAATCGACGCCTGTACGTAGCAATCTAAACTTTTCGTCAAGGGTGTAATTCACAGGTGGGTTTTTTCTTGTAAAATTACAAAGCGCAGCTCTCTTTCTGTAAAAAATAAGGCCAAGAAACTTTCCAGGGTCTACGGTGGGCAGCAACTATGGTGCCTGGATCGCGTCTTCGACTGGTGTGTTTAGCGTCCTATCCCGCCCATACATCAAAAGTGGTCCCAATGTGGCAACAAATGACGCGAGTGTCATGCTGTTGCCTGTCGCGATCCTGGCGGTTGGCCGTAGAAACGCTGGCGAAAAGCACGAGCGAACGCGAGTGTCGCTTTCGTCACGGCGTCCCTTTAGGCGTCCCAACCTCCGGCTGCTCCAGCTTCCGTGAACTGTCACAGTGGAAAGCGACCTGCAGCAGAACAGGCGTCTGCCACTTATACCACAACTGTTGCGGCGCCGCCAGGGTCGCAACAAGCGACAGCATGACACTTCTATGACGTCATCAGGCGGAAATCGAGGGACCACTTTTTTTTGAACCCGGTAAACACACCAGTCGGAGACGCGTTCCAGGCACCATAGCAGCAACGCAGACGACAGGGGTCCAGTAGCGGGTTGCGTTTGGCGTTCGTATTGATAGACGGCGCTACCCCCTTATCGCGACGGCTCGCGACCACCGTGGTTTATTAAAATAAATATAATATTTTTGAAATGTACCTTCGGTTAAAAAATCAATGCGAACAATAAAAGCAAAACTTAAAGTAAATAAACGCGTCTCCATAACGGCGGCGCTTTTGTTGCCAACGGATTTCGTCTGCGAGTCGTCTGCTATTTTTCGCTGGTAGGCTGCACCTTCAGACGCTGCTCCCGACGCCATCTATCAATACGAACGCCAAACACACCCCGCTACTGGACTTGGTCGTCTGGGTCGCCGCCCGCCGTAGACCCTGGCAAGTTTCTCGGCCCTATTTTTTACAGAAAGAGAACTACGCTTTGTAATTTTACAAGAAAAAAACCGACCTGTGGAATGCACCTTTAACGAAAAGTTTAGATGGCTACGTGCAGGCGTCGATTTTTACGGTTCATTTTAAATCGAGCCTGGTGACTTGAACCACCCTATATATGTCTATGGTACCAATTAGAAACTTGATGAACGTCGTTGAAAACCCCTAAATCAGTCATTTTTTAGAAAGCTTTTGAGCGCATGAGAAGCGCAGTAGTTCGCTAAAGTTACCACTCGTGTAGCAGGTGCAAGGCTACCGGTGCGATAACAAGCCCGCGCGATTTTCCCGCGTCTTATCGTAGTCCCAGCCTTGAACAAAGGACCCACTTTCGCCCTGTCAAACTCTCTAAGAAAAGACAGGACAAGTGCTCAAGTTGCACAGTGACGAATTCTGGGAAGGAATTCTATTATGTGATTAACGAACTTTAATAAACTCGGTGAAAGGAATGCTCAAAACGGCGTCCGAACGTAAGCTTCTAGAGAATGTGTCTTTAAACATTAACGAAGCGGAAGGAGAAACGATCAAGTACTTTTTATTTGAACACATGTTATTAAATCTTTGACATTTAATCCAGGTGCAAAAAGTAATTCTATACTTATTCTATTACTACCTGAAAATACTGCCTAATTGTAAATATTTACTTTCATGCAGCTTTAATTTTTTGCTATAATTCGCTGTTTTACGAGACGTTTAATCACAATGAAATTTCAAAAGCAATTTATCCAAGTCTGCACAATTCTGATTTGAATCAAAGAGCGATCTGTATGTAACGGTGCGTGAGGTCCGAAAAAGGCGAAGCGTGTAGTTTGAAGGAGGCAACGTTGGAAAGAAGTGTGTGTGCTCGTGCAAGATAGGTTAACGCTGAGTAGCAGTAGAGCACTTTTAAATAGTTTTAGGGGGGCAAGCGAGATCAGAATGAGTTGGTGGCGTCGATGCCGGGACTTGCGGGCGAATGCTATGACTGGATTATTAAGCCTGCTGACGTGGAACACTTTACAAGTGTTGGCAGTCAGCCAACACTTCTAAAGTGTTGGTAGAACTGTTCCCACGAGGAATGCTTTGGTTGGGATCATTAGAGAGACCCTGAACATCATCCCTTCGCCTTCTCCCACAGGCAGAAAAAAAAAGAAAAAAAAAAGTCTTCCGTCTTTTGAAGGTTTGCGCGGCCGCTACGATAACGTGATAACATTGTATAAATTAAAAAAAAAATGCAAAAGATTGTCGTCAATTTTGTTTCATTTGTACAATGTCATTGCACCATCATTAATCGCGGCGCCGCAAGCCTTCCTGGTGCGCGATTTGACTTCTGCGATGCCGCGGCTTTCCTCATACAGAATGTGTGACTAAGAAAATTCACTACAGCACTGAGGTCAGCAAGAGTGCCAATCAAAGCCGCGATGGGGTCACCACCAGATTATGCAGCGAGATGAGTGCTAGCCGCGACAACGTAAGGACCAATGTCTCCAGAGTCGCCGACAGCTGCTCGAGCTACGTTATTCTTGAGGATATTTCAAGAACCTTTTCAAACGTTGCAGGGTCGGCATCAAGGACTTTAGGAGGCAACTTGTATTGGGCAGCTATTTACCCCCCTCCCCGCCCTCCTCCATTGTCCCCCTTTATACACCCTCATACGGATTAAAGGCTGAACTCCATGGAGCGAATTACGCGACGAATACCTGACGAAGTTCGCCCGACGGCGCGCTCGCTTTGCGCGCGAAGTAGCAGCCACTGTGCCACTGTGCAGATGCCACGCGTAGAGCGAGGGACGCCGGGGCAATATTCTTCGATTTTTCGCGGCAGTGCTTGAGATCGGGCTAGTCGTTTTTTTAAGCCCTTTGTTAAACGACACTGCGAAGGATTACGAATGATGACACTGAGACTAAAAAGGCGGCGCGACATACGCAAGTAAATCCGCTGAATTCGACTCCCAGAATGTTGTGCACAAACGACAGAGATTTATGGTGCATACCCTTCAGAGTCCCTCCAAGACATGTGTTGCACTCTTCTAGATTCACAATCCTGGACAAACTTCTGAATTTTATTCCTCTGAATTTGTCTCGTATCACGGTTTTGTCGACCTGTTCTGAAGAGAGAGAGAGAGAAAGAGAGAGAGTCGCTCTATTTATAGAAAAACACTTACAGTGGTACCTGGTGATGTGCCTGTCCGAACAGGTCCAGCTCAACAGAGCAGACGTCCTGGGCTTCTCCAAGTTGATGACAGCGTGATCGGAACCACATAGCAAACACGGCACACTGGCCCACCGACGCTAACCGAAGGGTCAAGGACTCCACTAATACGGAAAGAAGTTACCTTCTCCCGTAATGGCAGATTCTCGGAGACGCGGAAGGCGATTCCTCGGGAGCGTGTCGGCATGCATACACCAACCTTTACGCGTCGTTTCGAGCGTTGGCTTCCGCGCAAGCACCGAAAAGCTTTACCTAGAATTTCAAGTTTCCCTCACCAGTAAAGACCCCTGGGAAGATGGTGATTGTCGCTGCTGCGATCTTATCACTGCCACCACTTATAAGATGCCGACGATGTTTATAAGTGGATACGAATGTCAGGCTTAATCAACCAGTGTCAACGTTCACTTTTTTGTTGTTGTTCCGAACCTTTTTTTGCAACTTACCCAAAGTAAGGATTGGCAAAGATCCGAATGCTTAGATAATATGTTATATATTTTAGTTCTGAATATTCCATTTGTAGATGATGACTGAATTTGGAAATGCCTATCAATGTAATCATCTGGATTCTGTAACGAATTTGTGCGCAGTGTTACGTGCTACACTGTATTCATGGGCCAGTGTAATTGCCCTAAAACAGAGTGGCTCAGTAACGGCACGGAAAACGTCGTTTCTTTCACGCACAGTCACTTCTTCGAACCACCTTCCTTCATCTGCTTGGGTCTATACACGCACCGTTACAGGTGTATAGGCTCCACAGAAGACAATGTATATTGCTACGATC